CACACACTCTTTCTGGGAAGTGTTTCCTGCATAAACACCTCTCCGAGCGCCGGCACACGCCGCCGTTAAATGCCCTGAAGACGACAGTTTGAGGATGAGGAGTTGGTAAGTGTTAGCGCAGACACACTGCAGAAGACGGGCGTCACGGCGACATGAGAAGTGTGCCGTCTGATTGGAGCTCCTGACAGGAAGTCAGGTGAGATAAGTGTGCCCTTTGAAGAGAGAAATCCTCTCGTGCCGGGACAAAGCGAGCTCATCCTTCCCACATCCACACCTCATCTCATCACAGCTGGCCTCAAACTGAAACCATCCTACCTGACCACACGGTCGATTCACATCCTGTCAGTTAGAGCTTGCACGGTGAGGCAGATCAGATTCTGAATTACTAAATGTACGATTTCTAATACGGTAAAACACATAATCAGGGTAAAAGAATGAAACACCAGTTTCCTCCCTTCCAGTTTGGATCGGAGCTGATCCTGAGGTGGATGATTCACACGGAGATAAAGCACGACGCCTGTGCTTCAGGTGTCCATCACTCTCTGCACCGAGCTGTCTCAGACGTCCCGAGGTAGACGACCGCCCGACCCACTAATCAAACCCAGCTTTGCACCAGAACCCCCCCCCCATCTGTTTGCTTTTCATTTAAATTCAGCTCGAGCACATCTGTCTGTAAAAGGACACTTTAGAAAGCTGTAAGTGTGCAGTAATGAAGTGCAGAGCAAGTTTATGAGTCAACTGAAGACAAACGACTGAAGTTACTGCAGGCTTCAGTCTGGGGTCCTTTTCTCCGACGCTGATGTCCGCGGCCGGCTCTTCTGTTCCCGAGCTTCAAATACACACCGAGCAAACGACACGCTCACCTCTTTGTCACCAACAAAAGGATCCTAATGAGACTGAAGTGTGCCCTTTGAAGTGGCCATTAACGCCTCCAACAAAGATCCTGTCCCCAAAGACCAGCATGAAAGGAAACCGCAAAGCTCAAGCCAACCCCCCCACCCCCTCTAATCTGACAGCTTGATCCAAGTCTTCAGCTGTTATTACTTTCAAAATCACCATCAGCTCAGATCTGTCACACACAGACACTGCTGATGTCTCCAGATGCTAATAAACATCTGTTTCCATCAGTAAACACTGCCCTGTATCAGTTCACCACAGAAACACATCTGGCTTGCCTTTCAGCTGGTTAGCAGCAACTGAGCTGAGCAAAGTAAGAGCGAGGGGACGATCTTATTACCGGAACAAAGCAAAGCTTGTGCACTGGAAAGGCTGGTTATCTGAACACAAACATGTATAATCTGAAGGCGACGGCTGGAGCTGCGCATGTTTAAAACGCTGATGCTGCTCTCGCAGCCTGCTGAACATCTGGATCACCGTCTGGCTGGAAGTGCAGGTCGTTGTCCTGCTCAATCCCGTTACAGTATGAAAGCGGACAAAAGGTGAGATAAGTGTGCTGCTTCCTCTCCCACAGCGACACCTCTCACCCCTCCATCACGCAGCGAGCTGTTAAGTGTGCTCCTCACGCGACAGATGCCTGATTTGAATCTGAACAGGTGACTTCACAATCAAACACCGTCGCCTTAAAGCATGAGCACGACCACACGTGTGTGTGTGTGTGTGTGTGTGTGTGTGTGTGTGTGTGTGTGTGTGCGCGTGTGTGTGTGTGTGAGAGAGAGAGGGGGAGACAGCAAAACTTACTGTGTTTCCTTGTTCATCCACCGAATTTGTGCCTAAAAAAGAAGAAAAATAAAACTGTTTATTGCCTCCCTCCATTCTCTTCCACTTATCCTGGACAGGTCACCAGTCTGTCACAGGGCTAACACGCAGACAACCATTCACACCTATGGGCACTTTAGAGCAGGGGTCCCCAATCCCAGTCCACAAGGGCCGGTGCCCCTGCAGGTTTTAGACGTGTCCTTGATCCATCACAGCTGATTTAAACGGCTAAACGACCTCCTCAACATGTCCTGAAGTTCTCCAGAGGCCTGCTAATGAACTAATCATGTGATTCAGGTGTGCTGACCCAGGGTGAGATCTAAAACCTGCAGGACACCGGCCCTTGTGGACTGGGATTGGGGACCCCTGCTTTAGAGTTACCAGTTAACCTGTCCCCACTAACTGCATGTGTTTGGACTGTGGGAGGAAGCCGGAGTACCTGGAGAGAACCCACAGTGTATCACCTGTTCAGGTTATTTACTAGATTTGAGGCAGGTGACACGCACACTTCACAAGAATGCTTGAACCTTCCAGCAGAAATATTAGCAAACACAGAGAAATCAATATTTGAAAACACGCGTGAGTAAACAGACATCACTGGTTGTGGTCGAGCAAAAACATTTTCTCATGTTTTAAAAATAAATGAGACGAAAAAAACAACCAAACCATCCAATAACCAACAAGCACCAACAGCAACATCTCATCTCCTCCCGGGATGTTCGCTTGTTAGAAATGGTTAAACCACTACACCGTGGAGTCGCTGTTACACACATTTACAAGCTTCATTTATTACATTTCCAGGTAGGTGCCCTGCAGGTTAAAGGTCAGGTTTATACTCATCAGAAGCGAGCAGCTGTGGTTTGGGCTCTCTGATTTCTGTAGGCCTGAAAAGATGAAACTCAGCGGTGTCGGTGTTTCCTGTTTCAGCTGCGTCTTCTCCTTTGTCTGCACCGACACTGAGGTCGTTTCTGAGTCAAGACTGCAGTGAGGCCTGGGCCCTCAGGTGCTAGCACACCGTCAGAGGCTGTGGTGGCTTCACGTGCTGCTGGTATCACACAGCGCCACCTCAGCCCTGACACAGGAAGAGAACAAGTCAGAACCAGAAGTTTTCAAACTGTCTCCCGCCGTGTCTCTGAGCCTTCAGCACAGTGCTAACCTGCACACTGCACCAGGTTACCACAACCAGAAAAATGACTTGCACGAGCAGCTGGAGGAGGTGCAGGTGTTACAGTGCTGTGATGGCATCACACACATCACTAACTATGATGCTGATTATTATTAACTCAGCAGCTCTTACACGAGTCTGATCACTGTAATAACCTCCTTTCAACCAACCAATCACAGTCTTTACATATTTATGTTCATTTAAACCTTCGGTGCAGCCGCCCTGAGCCGAAAGCTACAAAGCACAAAGAATCACAGGAGAAACAGCAGGTTATAATCCTGAACATCTCCAGGTATGAGCCACAGAAAAGATGTACCATAAAATCCTTTCTGGCATTCTCACAGTGCAGCACAAATATTTCACAACTAAAGGAGAAAGTCAAAGTGGAAAAGGTGGAAAATCTCCAGGAGGAACGAACTTCAAAAGGACCCAAAATACGATCGAAAGCGTGGAATTAAAGACAAAATGCCATTCCTGTGAAGACCGAGGTCACAGAGTCTGCCACGGTCTTCAAAACACGCAGACAAAAAGCAAATCAAAAATCTCCAATAACTTCATGAACGACTTGTTTCTGAAGAGGACGACTCCCCAAAGAAATCCTTCATCCTGTCCTCACCCGAGTCCGACTCCACAAATCAAAGATTACATTTCCATCCTCTCCTCCTCCTTAAACGGATCATTCTGGGTCCATTTTTCTACTCGACAAACCTGTCAACAACGCCCTTCACCATCCTCAGTCTGACTCTCCTCTGAAGGACAGGCTGCTAGCTCCACCCACCTGTCCCTGCAATCAGGGAGCCAAGTGTGAAAACACCAATCACACCCACCTTTCCATCAGAGGAAGTTCAGAGGCCCAGCGCGGCCAGAAATACAGGTTATACCTGTTCTTTTGAAGATGGCTCAAAGAATAAAGCTGCATCTCCTGTTTGAAACGCCTGAAACTGACGTGTTTAAACCCAGCAGCAGAACCAAACATCTGATCCATGTTTCATCCGTGACCAACAACCACGTGCTGGGTTCATGTTTTCAAACAGGGGTGTGTATAAAAGCGCCCGGCCGAAAAGCCCACGGTGATCTTTCCAGGAGTTTAATATTAGTGACCCCCAGGGTAGCTGTGGCACATTTATTCCAACAAAACCCTCATTAAATTCTAAAGAGAGAAATACAGAGCTGCCCTGCATGCATAAACCCTCACAGCACACTCGCATGAAGGAAACAATAAAAACCCTCTCTTCCTTTGAAAATGCCACACCACACTAGACTCTGTCAACTATTAGTTTAAAAAAACGCTCCTCAAACCTTTTCAAGAATTTCAGTTTGTCCTCAAACAAATCTCTTCTTTTCTTTACATGGAAGGTTTGACATGATCAATCAGATCCAGTGGGAAACATCTGGATTACAGGCTTATTCTTGACTTTATTCCAGGGGTGGGGAACTCCAGGCCTCGAGGGCCAGTGTCCTGCAGGTTTTAGATGTGTCCTTGATCCATCACAGCTGACTGAAATGGCTAAATAACCTCCTCAACATGTCGTAACGTTCTCCAGAGGCCGGGTAATGAACTAATCATGTGATTAGGCGTCCTGCAGATCTAAAACCTGCAGGACGCCGGCCCTCGAGGCCCGGAGTTCCCCACCCCTGATCTAACACATTTAAACTCTGCAGCTCTTGAATGTTTGTCAAGTTTCTGGATAGAAACCAGGTAGAAACAGCTTTGTGTCTACTGAAATTTATTTTCAGGTGATCCTTTGTCACATCACCCCTACAGAAAGAGGTTGAACCGGATTTGAACATAGAGACGTGCTGCTGAGCAAGCTGATTGGCTGACAGTGACCGTGTTTCCACCTGTGAAGCAAACCGGCTGAAACTGACTAAGTGAGGACGCCGTTTCAGGAGAGGCAGCAAAGTCTCTCCCTCTGAGTGCACAGGACGAAGCTTAAAGACTCACCGAATATATAAACGATGGCGACCGCGCCGCCGACTCCCATGAATCCGGCCAACCGTAGCACCATCTTCTTGGCGTAGGCCGTGTTCTCCTTCTGCTTCCTGTCCTCTGCCTTCTCGCCCTCCCTCTCGCCCTCCCCTCCCTCTGGAGGAGGCTGACCCTTAAACAAAAACAAGCGTTTCTGTTTGACTATGAACTAGCATTAATGAAATGTGCAGCACTGATGCGCTCACCTTCAGTCTGAACTGAGAGGAAAGCGTTAGAGACGTCAGCTTCATTCAGTTTAACACAAGGAAACGTTTTTGTCTCTTTTAAACAAGCAAAACAAAAAAAACCTTTATTCCCAAAAACAGAATTTACAGAAACAATAAAAACTGACAGGAGGTGGTTTGGTGTGTATGCTGGCACAGTCGACAGAGTGTGGAGGAGAGCCGTGCAGGGCAGTAGAGGAGTGCTGCATGAGTGCTGCATAACAGCCTCCATCGTGCTCCTCGTGCATGTTTCTGAGCAGACTGTCAGAATCAGACCGCATGCAGCAGGGCCCGTGCTCACAGCACAGTGCAGCAGAGGACAACAACCAACAGTCCAGCTCTGGTGGATGAGAGCAGGTTCACACTGAGCACTGGAGACAGATGAGAGTCTGGAGACGAACGTTATGATACCTTCAGGCTCATCCAGCATGACTGGTTTAGCTGGATAAAGACCTGATGCTGCTGCAGTAGGCCCTTGTGTAGCCGCAGTGTGTAGTCAGTGTCTGAAAGATGACGACTCTGATGCTCCCCAGACTTGAACCCAAGGAGAACCTCAGGGAGGTTCATGCACCTGATGCTGCCAAACAGAACTGCAGACTGCAGCACGCACAGATGCACTGGTCCATGTCTGGGAGGAGATCACCCCCAAAACACCGTCCATCATCAGGAGCATGCCAAACTAACTGAAAAGGCATGGATGTGTGCAAATGTTATACAGCATTTAAAACAACCCAGACTGACAGAACCCAACATGGTCTCATGGAAGGCTGTTGATTTCCTTCATGTCCAATTAAATTCATGGATTTTAACAGATTTCAGCACTTTCTGTATCTGCTGCTGGGAAGAAGTGGAGTGGCAATTATTTAGTCTTTAACTAAAACCCTTATTACAGTTCGTCTGTAGATGTCACACTTTTATGTTTGGAGTCTGTGGGAAACACACTGTTAGGAGTCACGTGGTGGGTGGCTTCCTCCATGACCAGACACCACACTGAGCTGCACGGGGAGGAGGGTGGGGGTCTGCTCTGACCTTCAGAGCGAAACAAACCTCGGCTGTTAACGCGATTTATCCCGCAGATAAAATCAAGCTGTGGCACTGACAAACACACACACAGCTGCGGGTGAAGGGCAGGTAACCACAGCAGTGCCAGCTGCACTCACTGCCACACAGTTAGGGTTAACCCTAACCCTAGGGTTACTGTTCAGAGGAACACACACACTGTGAGGACACTCACGTGAGCCGGGCTCAGGTAAGCTGTGTTGCTACAGCCAGACTAGATAAACGCATGCTAACATTAGCATGCTGGCTAGCTAGGTGATGCCAGTTTCATTCATTCAGCAGACAGCTGAGCCCGCGTGGGGTGATGCTGTCATAACGTCACATTTCTGAAGATCACGTGTGTCGCGACAAACACCACAAAACACACAGTTTAGTCCGTCCGGGCCCGCGTGGGTCAAGAAAATAACTTTATGTAAGCTAGCTGTCAGTCTGAGCTAAGGTTGGAAATGTTCGTTCATGAGTTGATTTACATCACCAGGGCAGCTCGTGAAGGCGGGGTTTCACGGTCGGACCTACTACTTAATACAGTTACCCCCGTCGACGCCACTGAGTGCTGTTAAGGTTGTAAAATGAAGCGCACCTGAGTCGGCTGCTGTTGCTGCTGGAGTCTCTCCTGGAGGATCGCCTGAGCTAACCCGCCCGTCGCACTGCCCGCTGCGGCCGGCGGCTTGTCCGTGGACAGTGTCCGGATGACGTCCACCATGGCTGGGGCGGAGGCACCCGCCGCCGCGCTCCTGAGCCGGAGGAGGCCCCGGCTCGCCCGCAGACACATGGGGAGCACACACACAGCCGACATGTTGGAAAGTAGCACTACAGCTAACGCAAATGACGCGAGTAAGAAGGACAAAAGCACCCGATTGGCCGAGGCCCTGTGAGGGGCAGGCAGACGCCCCAATCAGAGGAGTGGAAAGCCACGTGGGGCGCTAGGAGGGAGGGCCTTTTAGGGTTGGCACCAATCAGAAGAAAGAGTGAGTCTGACCTTCGATTGCGACATTAACCCTCATATTCTCATCAAATATTACGTTTTACCACCAAGAGATATTTGCCTCAAGGAAATGGTTTGCATATGGCTGATGAGCAAGTGTTTGTGTCAGGCACTTTGTTTATTTATTGAATACATAAATGGCCCCTTGATAATGAAACTCTAGCGCCACCATCAGGTCAAACTTTTAATTTTAGATTTATTTTCTAATTATGTTTCTAATCAGGTGCTTCACCAGGGGATTTACCTCTGTATTTGGTTTTTGTTCTTTATTTTTCTCTCACTTTCTCTGTTTTTTAGTTTTCTTTTTCTAAACTTTTCTTTCTACTGTCTTTTCAGCTGCTGGCACTGTAGAGTCCCAGTGCTTACTGCCCAGATGCGTATCACATCTGGTAGGTGTGTTTCTTCAGGCTGAACCCCTACCATAAAGCTCTACCAGTTAAAATAAAATTTGTTTGTTTGTGTTGTAGATCCTATTGGGAGTGTTCCTAAGAGGTTTCATTGACCCACTATTGATCATGTGCCTCATCACATCAACCAAGTGTGAAAACAGGTGTGGGTCACTATCAGAGGTTTTGGGTGAACCCATTGTGAGAGCTTGCTGAGGTCAACTGGCCCCAGGATGTGAGTGGGTGTTAAGGCGTCTGGGAAGGATCTCAAAACTGGATTATAAATGACAGACAGTTAGCGTCGTAAGCCCCGCCCTCCGTTCAAAGATGGTCGTTCACAGTGGACATAGATGGCTTCTTTGTGAACTGGTTTAGAGAGTTAACCCCTGCGTATTAGCTTAAAACGCTACAAAGGACCAAGAATAAAGGAGGACAAGATCTACCTAACTTCCAACACTACTTCTTAGCCAACGGGCTACAATTCATCCCAGCATGCCTAAATCACAGCCACTTAGATGAACCCTAGCTAGACACAGAACAGGCACTATGCAATATAAATAGAGACCTCAGACCTACCATTCATTAGCTCAAACATCAAATACGATGTATGCAAAAGCATCAACATCAGCTGCTCTCTGACAGCATGGTGTCTTCATTGATCTCAGGCAAACGTGCACCCATCTGGAACAACCCTGACATACTACAGAACAATAATATGATTAACTTCACAGACTGGAGTCGTAAAGGAATTAAATACTTGGAAGATATATTTGAAGGAACAGACTTTATTCCATTTGACAGATTAGTTATACAATACATGATTAACAAGAATAGATTTTTAGAATATCAACAAATTAAGTCTATAGTAAAAAAGAAATTAAAGCCTAATCAAACGCCATCAAGTGTGGTACAAATTCTTTTACATCCCTGGGTACAGTTAATAAAATAATACATAGAGTGCACTATACAGATCAATGGATGTTCAGGATGGGTTTTACGTCTTCTAACAACTGTTCGCATTGTAAAGGCAATACACCTAAAAATGACATCCATGCTCGTAGGTTCTGGTGCTGGATATGCGAAGACTTATCAAAGTTTTTTGAAATGTAACATTCCAGCCTCCCCTTCAGTTTGCTTTTCGGGTCATTTAGATGATGTCACTGTGGAGATGATTACAGTCCACATGGCTCGCTGCCTTATCCATTGCTAAGAAGACTGTCCTCATGAAATGGAAAATAAAAATCATTTTAAGTTTAACCAATGTAGAGACCGTTTGTTGGACTATTGCCAGACAGGAATCAAATAAACAAACAAAAAATAGACTCTGGGAAGAGACAATGGAGTAAAAGTCAAATGCTCTGGACCTCCTCTCTCAGAGACAAACGACTGCCACGACCAGGCACTAACACTTTTTATTATGGGTGATAAACAGGATACTAAAACAGATTAAGGTGGCCTTAGGTCTGATCTCGGCTCATGTTTCTCCTTCTGCAACTTTCTGGGCATCTCCTTATTTGGAGTCACTGCTTCATCCATCACCATGGCAACCACCTCCTACCCTCCAGTCAGATCTGCATAAAGGAGTGTATGGTGCATACCATCGCCTAACAACTGATTTATCACCTTAGCTATATTCCACAGAGAGGAATGCTTCTCTCTGCTCATGTCTGTTAGCATCAGAGTGAATCCTGTGTGCAGTAAAAGACAAAACACAAATATGTGGTGCTAATTATGCGACATTAGCCTTACAAGATAAAAATAAATCCCAACACGTGTCTTTAGTTGCTCACAGGTTCTTGCACTTACAAATTGGTTCAGTTTTGGTTGCTGTATGTTTTGAAATGTTACATTTACATTTTTCTTTACTTTAAATAGTAATGAATTTATTATAATGATGCATTAAAAAACTGCATCAACTCTATGCCTTGAAAGCAGTCAGCTGACTTTTTCTATTTAGCTTTTTAATTTTTTAATGTATTTTTCCTATTAAAGATTTTACTATTATTATAATATGGAGGTAATTTCCTGCCAGATATGGAGGTCTCCCACTGTAGTTGTTTGATTTTGAAATGTGATGTCATGGTCCTCCAATTCTCCCTGGGTTCCTGTCAGTGCTTGTTATTGTGTGTCCCTCTCTCCCTCCCATCCTCACTCCTTTCCGCCTGGGTGGTGTTGCATTGCAGATTTCCACCTTCGGCCAACGCACCTGCTGGCAATCAACTCACCTGCTGCTCATCATCCCCATCAGACTGGTCGCTACGGCGGCTGAGTTGTGGTCATCGCTGGCTCGTGTAGCCCCAGCTGTCACAGTTTCTCTTCTCCCTGGTGCAGACCTTCCTTGATCCCTCCCTGTTTCCCTTGGACCCTGTTGAGCGAGTGTATTCATGAGTGAGCGTCAGCGTGGAGTGCAAGTTTGGTCATGTAAGTGACTGGCTTTGTGAAGACAGGAGTTTGGGTGTGTTTCCCTTCTCTGGATTCTATGGAGCTCCTGTTCCCTTCACCATTGTATATAGCAGCTGGTGTCACTTAAATAAACTCACCTTTATTGTGAACATTCAGAGACCCGCGTTTGAGTCCTGTCAATCATCTTGACATGTGAATGGGCAGATTGAAGGCTCAGTCTGAAAGCCCAGAAACAACCTCCATAAAGTAGCTCTGCTTTTGTCACTGTGGACTGCTACCAGTATTATTTGTGTCACAGTAAATATTCAAATTTTCTTTAGATTTCTCTGTTTTCCAAGCATATCAGTGACATATCAGCAAATCAGTTCTCTCTTTGTGGCACTGTTAGCTAAAAGTTAATAAATTAACACAGGGTGTTATTCTGAGGTTTTTTAATTTTCCCCCCTTTTTGATACAATGTAGTGACAGACATTAAAATGAAGCATAATCTTACAAATTTAAAGGAAGGAGATGATGAAGAATTCAGAACTGATGAAAAATGGCAGGAGTAACTGTTAGGTAAATCACATTGGCTGGTAAAAGCAAAGAGAAGTTCCTTCAGTGGGCTGGTTTCAGTCATTATGCAAATGTACTGTTTATAAGATTGAAACCTGCAGTCAGCTGAGACTGAAGACGTCACCTGGATGAGTGATGAAACGTTTCTCCCACTGAAAACGCTATTTCCAGATGAACAGAATCAACCATTTGGATATCTGCTTACCTGGATGACTGAGCATCAAGACAAAGAGAAGTTAACCTTTATTTAGTGATATGACCAAATAGCAAAATGGACTTTTTGGGAGGAAGTCTGCAGAATTGAACCAAAAGCAATCTGGAATTCTTCTTCCCCTTCGGTTTTTTTTTTTTTTGTGCAAATTTTTGTTCAGGCAAATGTGTTGAAAGAAGCCTTTAACTGTCAAAATTCTTGTTTTGGACCTCTAATAAAATCAGTCATGTCTGATAGCTTTTCTGATATTGCTAAAAACCAAATTTGCTACCCTCTTCACTCATTTGGATGAGCAATTTAGGTTCTCACCACAGTGAGGACGCTGGTAGGTCAAAACTTGGAGTATCCCTAACACTTATATGAAGGAACAAATAGAAGAGCCATAAATATCTCTTTATCATAGTTCAATAAGTTTAAAGTGATTTGTCTTTGAAAGCTTTGTTGTAGCTTTACTCTTTTTTCAATATAGTGTATTCAAAGTTCCAATTTTCAAATGGGTTCAAATGGAGCGTTCCAACATATACACCAAATCTGACAATTGTCTTATTTAACCTGTTTGTCCTCTACCTGTATAAAGAAAGGTTAAATAAAATAAAATTGACTTCATTCAAACAAAAGCATACAAGATCACTCTCAAACTGAGATTTTGAAATTTAGCATTAGTCCACTTTGTTTTTTTCCCTCCTTTCTTTCAGCTCAATCTTCAATATGCTTTGTCCACTATCCCTCCTGACATATTCAAACCATCTCAGCATTGCCTCTTTATTTGTCACTTGGGTTTGGTAAAAACAAACAAACAAGCAAACAAAAAAAAACTATTCAAGTACAATACAGATAGCTGAAAATTCTACTTAAGTACAGTAGTCATACCTGGGTCCTGGGTCAGCAACCAGACAAAAACATTCAAAAAGTCCTAGGAGTGAAGGGAACAGTTTACCCAGCCCAGGATAGGGTTACCACCCTGGAGCCAGGTCCGGGGAGGGGGCCTGCACTCAGAAAAATTATGGTTCTTAAATGGTTCTTCAGATGTCTTCATGGTTCTTTAAAGAACCATCATACGTCAAAGAACCTTTTTATTTTGT